ACACACACACACACACACACACACACACACACAGAGTCCATCAGTAGAGGAGAATGGAGGACAGTGGACCTGAACTCGTCCATTCCGCTGTCGCACAAACTAATAAAGTTTTAGTGTTTGACAGAAAAGGACACAACAATTACACAGAGCAGGGAGGACAGAGAGGACTATGCGTGACTCTGGTATTTGTAGTTCTTCAGCGAGAGGTGACCAATTAACTCTAATACATGCACAGATCCAGCCAATCAGAGAGCGGCGAGCGCAAAGACGTCACTTGACCTCTCAGCTGTTTACAGAAGAAAACATCACATGACCCAGGAAGTGACTCAGCGTCATTCACACACGAGGGTGGATATAAAGATTCATGTCATCGTTTTCCCACCGTTAATACCAGAATATAAAAATAAAAAACGTTTTCGGCTCTGGAACATGTCACACCTCATCAGCTGTCTGATATTCTGTCTCGAGGACCTTGTTTCCCATGAGCCCCTGCTGCCACCCTCTGTTAACACCTCAGATCATACCTGTGTCAGGTGTCGCGGTGGTGCTAACGGGCCAGGCAGAGCTTAGCGCTGTCACAGAGGTCAGCCAATCAGGAGGCTTTGTGTAGGGCAGAGTGGGCGTGGTCTGAGGTGAGGAAGGTGGGGCAGCAGTGCTGGCGGCCGCAGCAGGTGTGCTCTTGCTGTGGTGCGTGACGCCATCGTCGCCGCCGCCATCGTTCCTCAGCGAGGACGTTGCACTCTCTACTTCAAAGGTGGGGAGGGGGTTTGTGCTGTTGCTGTGGTAACTGGGGTTGCTGTTGACGATGGGCTCTGGGGACGAGAGGGGACTAGAGTCCAAGAGGCTGCTGCCAAATATCCCTAAAGAAGAATACAGGAAGTGATGATCAATAAATACACTCTTGGCCAATCACAGAGCAGCACAAGGTCGACGGTGAGTTATTGATCAGGTGCAATATTAATGAATCTGTCTGTTGATACAGGTGTGTGTGTGTGTGTGTGTGTGTGTGTGTGTGTGTGTGTGTGTGTGTGTGATGTCGATGTGCTGTCTTATTGATCAGTCGTGTGGATCAGGCTTATTGATCCCTCATCACTGAAAACTCCGGGGCTGTGTTTTGATCTGGACAAATAGAAACTTATCAGTCACATGACTCGACTACCAGAATGAATACAAAGCGTTGCTCACACATCCTGTCAGTAACAGTTCCACCTTGTCGCCTGTAACTAAGCAACCAACCTCCGAGTAGACAATTTACTTCCTGTTTACATCACATGACCAGTGTACGTGAAAGGTCATGTGACGTGTTTTTGGGTGTGTTTGTGTGGAGACTGTGACATTGAACCTTTCAGAATGCTGCAGATTGTCGGTTCTGATGATGATTTAATGTTTAATTATTAAACTGTTATTTGACGAACTGATTTTAATCGTTGATTATTGATTTTTTCTCAACGTCACATTCAATCGACTAAATTCGGCGAGTGAGTTTCTGACAAATCTGTCGACTGTGACGATGGTTTAGACGAGACCCTGAGAACAACACAGAGAAGGGAGTGAAGGGAGGAGGGAATCCAAGAAACCATTAGGTGTTTAATGGTGAGAAACACACACACACACAGCTTAATGGCAGTGTGTGTGTGTGTGTGTGTAATGACTTGTGAAAGAGAAAACCGAAAACAGCTGGTGAGCAAGAAAAGATGAAAGAAAAGAAGAGGAAGAGGAGAAGGAGGAGGAGGTCAAACTGTGAACATGTGAAAAACACATTTTCTACTTTTTCTCGTTGTAAATAGAAAAACTGTATTTTTATTTTTCGCTTCGTTTGGACGATTCTGAAAGAGAGAGAATAAGAAAAAGAGGATGGGAGACAGGATACAGGAGAGGTGAAGAAGAGGGAGAGAGACAGAAGGTGACAAGAGAGAAGGAGGGAAGAGAAGAATGGAGGGGTGAGGATGGAGTGATGAAAAGGGGAGTATAAACTGTGGATGAACAGACGCTGCAGTTTTACTACCTGTGTTTAAATATTTGAAATTCTTTCAGTCTAAACGTTTGACTCTGTCCTCCTGAGGGATTCTATGCTGTCATGGCAATGAGACACACACACACACACACACACACACACACACACACACACACACACACACACGTAATTAACACGCCTGTGAATTCATTAGGGACCATGACTGAGTGTCATCTCTCCTCCTACACACTGTCCTCTATCAGTCTGTTCACATCCCTTCTTGCCTCCACTCGTCATCTATACACAACATCAGTGACTGTTTGAGGACGATCAGTGACTGAACAAACAACAGATAAAAACAAAGTCACAAAACAGAACTGTTTACATGTACATGTGTGAGAGTTAGTGTGTGTGTGTGTGTGTGTGTGTGTGTGTGTGTGTGTGTGTGTGTGTGTGTGTGTACCAGTGAGGGCCAGGACGAGCAGCAGCAGGGCGGCTAGCAGGCTCACAGTGGGAATCAGGATGTAGAGCAGAAGTCGGAGGTGATTGGTGGATCCAAGCTTGTGAGGACACGCCTCCCCGCCCATCCCTGTCTCAGGTGGTCGAGCCGGCGTCTGGAGGAGACGTGGAGACGAGTTCAACATCAAGTGACCGAGAAAAAGGACTGAATCCAGGTTTTCAGAGGAGGAGTGGAGGCTGGGAAACTCCACACTGACCCTGTACACCCCCCCTCCAGGTTATTTTAAGTGAAGGTGGTGAGGGGGGTTGGTGGTATGTGGGCGGGGCGACCCGGGCATTTCTGTCCTCTCAGAGTTTCCGTTGGACGAGTCGAAGTTATTTTTGAAGTGATGTGACGATAAACCGACACTTGACACCAAACGCACACAAACCCCACTGCTGTAAATACTGCTCGCTCCACCACTCTCTCTCTCTCTCTCTCTGGATCTCCTTCTGTTCATTGATTAATCGATTGACCGATAGTTCGATCAGCGTTGATTCATTCATTCATTGACACATTGATTCATTAGGATTTAGTATATTTCTATCAAGGCCTCCTTTAATCTTATTTCCTTCAAAGCTTTGTAGAAAATTATGATTCAACATTATCAGTTATTTTGATTTCTGATTTTTGGTTAATTGATTATTGACATTTTTACTCTCTGGACCTTTGTTTTTGGATTGGATGTGATCAGTTAATGTAATTAGCAGATTAACTGATGATTTAAATATTGTTAGAGGCAGCATGACTTTCCAAACTGTAAGGCTTACATCAAGCATTCATTTGAAGACTTTTATTTTGAAGGCCAAAATAAAACCAGGGATTTAAGCTGAACAAAATAAAAACACAAAAAATATTTTATTGAGAATTAATGTACAATTAAACTGTATTTTTTTG